CCCCACCACCCCCGATTTTAGCCTATCCATACGAAGTGTTTTACTATCGTATCCATACGACGCGGGGAACTCTTGTGCCACCACTTTCAAAAGAGGAAATTTACTCGTTAATCCAATCCGTACACTTTGTATAGCAGTAAAGCAGTCTGTCAGCATGATTTTTTTTTAGAAATACTGAAAGTTTCAAAGAGAATCTTCGTACTGGGAGTATTCTAAAATGTGAAGAATACAACCCTTGGGGTACAAAATGACCCCAGGGCATACGGATAGGGTTAAGCTTACATCAAAGAAAACGTGACGGAACCTTAGTCGGCAGTGACTTTTATTAATGGACTTTTAGATTCTGTTGCTCGTCCTACTTCACGACCCGTCTACAAAGGTCGGAGAAGATTGAACAAAGGGATTTCTTTTCCCCTTGTATTTACCCGCGGTCAGACAAGAGTGAGCAAGCGAGAGTTGTCAACGGTTATAGTTTAGCAGTTGAAAGATAACGCTTCCTGTGCCAAGGGAAGAAACTGCACAAATCAGACAACCTACAAGAGCAAACAGAAGTTATGTCCCCTGTGTATATAGTTATGTCATGATATCTATGATTATGTCCCCTGTTTATACATTTGTGTCCTGGTGTGTATAATATATACGTGTAGTTATGTTATGTCCCCTGTGTTAATTACTGTATATATATATATATATATAAATACATAAAATGATATGTCCTGGTGTATATATACGTGTCGTTATGATATGTCCTCTGTGGTGTGCAATTCACTGATCGGCGCAATCTTAGCTGCGCGTTTTAAAGATCGTATATTTATTGTATTTTTCTTGTGAGCTCTTCAGTTTCATATCTTGATTTTAGTTTTAATTTTCATATTTTAACGCTTTAAAAATATACGTTGATGTTCCTTGATGTGAGTAAAAGAATAAAGATGGAAGTGAAATTTTTAAAATCATTAAAAAAAATATAACAGATTAAATGTACCTTGTGAACTTTGAGTTTGATACCTGGCATTTTATCATTCTTGTGGGCTCTTCAGTTTCATACGCTAATTTTCATCTTAATTTTCATTTTCATATACTTTTGAAAATATGAATTTTCCTTGCTGTGAGTATTGCTTATTTCTTCCATCCATCCATCTGCGTGGCGTCGGTGGTCTAGTGGTTAGGCTCTCGGACTCGCAACCGTAAGGTCGTGGGTTCGAATCCCGTCAAGGGCCCGACGTTGTGTCCTTGGGAAAGGCACTTTACACGAATTTTCCTCACTTCACCCAGGTGGGGATGGGTACCCGGCTATAGACAG